ATAATGCAGCAGAGAAAGCTGAGGATGTAAAGGAGGAAGGATTAGGGAGCCTTGCGCAGAGAGAGGGATGTGAAGATGTCAGGCCCAGGGTCACACAGCTAACCTCGGGCAGAGCCCAGATCGGAAGCCAAGTCATCCCCTCCGCCTTCGGGACACCGGCTACGGCTACAGGGTAACTGGAGGGCGGTCTCCCTTGCACCTCGGTACATTGTTTTGCAGCTCACTGGCAGTTCCACAACACCTGCCCGGATGAGGAGGGTGGCAGAGGGAGAAAGTCAGTAACCATGGATACAACCTCAGGGTCCAGCAGACTGGCAGAAAAAGAAAATACACACACACGCACACAGCACACACACACAAACACAGCGCACCGTGCAACATTATTCATCCTTCAGAAAGAAAGGAACAGGGCCGGGCGTTTAGCTCGGTGGTTCTGCCGCTTGCCTCTCAAGCAAAAGATCCCGAGCTCCATCCCTGGTACCAAAAAAAAAAAAAGGGAAAGAGAGACTGGAGAACAGGGAACAGGACAACAGAGACTAAACAGCCAGGCCCTTCTCTGAATTAATTAATAGGAGCTTAAATTATAGATAAAATTCCCTAACCCGGTGTTCTTCATTATGACTCTACAAATTCTGCTTGGTGATTCCAACACAGTTTGTTTGTTTGTTTTGGGCTTGATTTTTTTTTTTTTTTTTGAGACAAGGTCTTGCCTCCCAAAGTACATGGAATTACAACCATGCACCACCATGCCAGATGAGAGAAAAGATTTACAGCTATTCTTTTAAAATATCACTTCCATGGTATGTATAAGGTACATAAAGTACAATGTCTAGGGCCAGGGATTTAGCTTAGTGGTTCTGCTGCCTGCCTTGCAAGCACAAGGTCCAGAGTTCAATCCCCGGTACAAAAAAAAATGGTCTAGTCATAAAAAAATTCGCCTTCTAATCCCAGGGCTGACATTGGTTGGCTACATGGCTTCAGATAAGCTACTTAATACCTTTATTTCCTCAGCTATTTAATGCTAAGTATGAAAAAGAGGAATGTAGAGCCAGGGATTTAGCTCAGAGACACAGTGCCTGCCTGGCAATCAAAAGGCCCTGAGTTCAATTCCCGTTACCAGGAAAAAAAAAAAAAGGTAAATGTTTCTGGGAAAAGGATACACTGAAAAGGGAAAATTAAAAAGTGTATATTCAATGTTTGTAAAACAAATACTATGTCTAGACAGGTGTGGTGGCGCACATCTGTGATGCTGCACATCTGTGATGCCAGGACTCAGGAGGCTGAGGCAGGAGGGTCACTGTGGTGGGAAGAGAGCCTGGGCTAAATAGTGAGATCAGTGCCAGCCTTAACTACATGAGACACTGTATGAAATACACATGTGCGCACGCACATACACACACACACACACACACACACACAATCTTAACTTTACAAGTCTTTTAAGAAAAAAGTAGTGGCGTAATATACCTAAGAGGCTTAATGTCACAATCAAAGTGATAACCATGAGAATCATTTACTGCATTCGAACCACTAATTTCAGAGGAAATCTAAAACACCCAGTTCCCAATCTGTAACACTGATATGCCAAAAAAAACAAAACAAAACAAAACAAAAACAAAAACACCGCTAGGAAATCTGCAGGGAGATCACATTGCTGCTATGCATTTGAGAAATCAAAATATCTGTGTGATGAAAGTCTAACTAAATCCTCCCCTGTCGCTACAGTGATCTGAATAAAATCTCAAACCAAATCTAGATACCGCCACAGCAGAGCATGCTGTCATCTACTTAGGAAAGTGCTTTCTTCACTGCTGCTGACACAAGCACTCCAGCACCCGAGCCACCCCACTCTGCTGGGTGAATTTTAGGAAACTCAGATGCTCAGTTGGTTCCTCAACTGTCAGATGAGGGCAACTCAGATGGTTGTGAAGAATTACTGTGAGGGCTAAATGAAATGATACTGAGTAAAAGCACTAAGAACTGTATTAGGAGCCTCTGGGCCTGGGCCACAGTTCTCATTAGTCCTGATGCATAGGGGAACAGATACAGTTTTAGAATAAATACCAATAAGCTGGGCATGGTGGTGCACATTGTAATCCCAGCACTCAGGAGGTTGAGGCAGGAGGATCGCTGTGAGTTTGAGACCAGCCTGGGCTACATAGTGAGTTCCAGGTCAGTCTCAACTACCAAGAATAAAAACCAATACAGTAGCCAAGCATAGCAGATGGATGCCTGTAATCCTAGCACTGAGGAGGCCGAGCAGGAGGATCACAAGTTCAAGGCCAGCCTGGGCTACGTAGCAAGACCCCCGTCTCAGAAAACAAATAAACTAAACACACACACACACACACACACACACACACACACACACACACACAAAAAGAA